GGGATGCCCAGCACCCCTGATAATACTAATCCCTATACAGTCATGTGTCACTAACAAGAAGATACGTGGTGAGAAATGCATCATTAGACAATTTCATCTTGTGGGAAGATCACCGAGCTCACTTACACAAACCTAGACCCGTAGCCAGCAAACTGCGGCTCGCGAGCCACATGCTGCTCTTTGGCCCCTTGAATGTGGCTCTTCCACAAAATACCATAGTCTGGGTGAGTCTATTTTGAAGAAGTGGCATTAGAAGAAGATTAAGTTTAAAAAATTTGGCTCTCAAAAGAAATTTCAATCGTTGTACTGTTGATATTTGGCTCCTTTGACTAATGAGTTTGCCGAAGACTGGACTAGACCATAGTTTAATGTGACTGGCAGTGTAAGAGGTTTATTTACAGAAGCAACACCATCTGTTTACACCATCACCACTTTCACATGAATAATGTCTTGCACTAGGACTTAATCACAGCTACTACCTCTCTAGCAATAGGAAGTTTCAGCCAAGATATAATCTTTTAAGATCACTGGTCTATATGTAGTCTGTCATTTAGAGAAAGCTCATAGACTACACATACTATGTTTTATTTACTATACATACATACCTATGATAAAGTTTAATTTATAAATTAGGCACAGTAAGAGATTAAGAACAATAACTAATAATAAAATAGAACAATTATAACAGTGTATTGCAATAAAAATTGTGAGCATGGGCCCTCTCTCTCTCTCTCTCTCTCTCTCTCTCTCTCTCTCTCTCTCTCTCTCTCTCTCTCTCTCTCTCTCTCGGGAGGAATCTAGAGAAAAGCCCATGCAGACATGGGGAGAATGTGCAAATTCCACAGATAGTGGCACAGCAGGAAACTGATTTTTTTTTTTCCTCATCAACATTATAACCAAATGCCATTTCTCAAGGACATGCTGGTAAGCATGGATACAGTGGACAAAGGAATGATTCACATTCCAGGCAGCTTGGAGCAGGAGGCATGAGATTCCATCACACTACTTGGAGTGGCAAGCAATTTAAAACTTAAGAGTTATTTATTTCTGGAGTTTTCAACATAATATTCTCAGATCAAGAGGTGAATCACGAGTAACTGAAAGCATGTAAAGCAAAGCCTAGGATAAGGATAAGGAGGGCTACTGTAGGCCCTTATCTTTCTCCACAACCAAGATCTATTCTTCTGGGGAAAGACCTTGCTGAAAGGCATTCCTCACAGTCCAGACCCATCTAGCCTTCCTCTCTCAATTGAAGGGGGGAGACAGAGAAACTAATAAACATGCAGGAAGCTCAGAGTCCGTAGACACCAAAACTTAACTATGAAATGATACAACACTCCCCTCCCTTTACTAATATCATCAACAGGCCTCCAGTATGAGAACAGGGGATTACAGCAAAAAAGAGATGCAAAACACAGACTCAGTTCTTAGAGAAGCCCAAAGACAACCGAAGAGATGCCAGGTAAATTTGATGCCTCTGGTAACAGCCCAACTCCTCCCTAGACTAAAATTAGACCTCACACTAAGCCCATTTACCTCACTTCCTATTACCCATACATCAGGTCATTTTTAATAAAACATCCCACAGCATGCTAAGGACAAGAAAACAGAGGCAGGGAGATCAGGTGACATACTTTAAGTGATAATCGATGAAAGATGAAGTTGGCTTGGCCCAAGGTAGCAGTGGAAGTGGTAAAAAGTGGTCAAGATCCTGAGGTATTCTGAAGACAGCAGAGATGAATTGCTAATGAAATGGAAGTAGGATGTGACAGACAAAGTGGAGGTGGGGATGACTCCAAAGTGTGGACCAGTGCTGCAGGGGAAATGGAGCTGCCATCGACTAAGATAGTAAAGGCTTTGAGTAAAACAGTTGGCTGGAGTTCAGAATTTTTGAGGGGGCAGTTAATCCTCACCTCAGGATATTTTTCCATTGATTTTTAGAGATTGTGGAAGGAAGGAAGAGAGGCAGAGAGAGAAACATTGATGTGAGAGAGACACATCTATTGATTGCTTCCTGCATTCCCTGACCAGGCCTAAGGATCCAACTTGCAACCGAGGTATGTGCCCTTGACTGGAATCGAATCCGGGACCTTCTTCACACAGGCCAACACTATCCACTGAACCAAACCAGCTAGGGCTGGAATTCAATTTTTAATATCTCAAATGATAAAATAAATGCTGGTCAGTTGTGTATTCATTTCACTAATAGTATTTGGAGTGCTTAATACTATAACAAAAAGACATAAAAATAAATTGGAAATCAAGAAAATGCTTAATAATTATTTTAACAAATAAATGGATAAATGAACAAATGATCAGATATGTTAACCATGTCACCAAAATAACTTCACCAGAATCATAATCATCACTGTCAAAAGGAATAGCAGGTAAGGCTGAAAAACATCTAGGAGTTACAAAATGCTTCAGCCAAGCCCAGGATGGAGCCTGTTAAAGACACTCCTGCCCTTCCTTTCCTTCAGAGTAAGAAACTGAATTTGGGTTCCTGCCTTCCCAAAATAAAGATACCATTCCCCAGCCCTCTCCGCAGCTAGGTGTGGCCAACAGTCTGTGAGCAAACATTGCGTGTGCAATCTCTGAGGTATGCTCTTAAAGACAAAGGGTATACCCACCACTTGCCCTTTCTCTCCCTCTTCCTGTTAGCTGAAGTGCTGAAGTGACAATGAGCCATTTTGGACCACAGGGACAGGGTGACACTACTGAGATGGCAAGGGAACAAAAGAGAAGGGGCTGGGACCCTGAAAACCCATGGCGCCATCTTATCAGTGCTGGGCTGTGCTTGCCTAGGTTGTTACATGAAAGAGTAAGGCTTCTATCTTACTCAAGCCACTGTTATCATGGCTCTTTGTTACAGGAACTGAAAACTTAACCAATAAATTAAATAAACCCTCAGAGCAATCCTGGGATGCAAATAGTGTGCTGATATTTTTCTTATAATTCCTTATTATGTATCTGTTTTAAACAGCAGGAAAATAAACCGGCAGCACAGCCTTGTTGTATATATGTATATCTACCAGTGAAGAAAAAGGAACTGAAAAATATTCTGTGAGAACTGGTTGCAACAATTTTTTTTTTCCATGAGAATATGCTATGCACTGATTTCACTCATTTGTGGAATCTAATAAACAAAATGAACTAATAAGCAAAACAGAGACAGACTCATAGATAAAGAACAGGCACACAGCTGTCAGGGTGGAGTTGGTGAGGGTGGAGGGAATGAGCAAAAAAAGAGAAATAGAAAAAACAAAGTTTCTAGTCCACTTAAAATTCCTGCAATTTATTAAACAGTGTAAGTACCAACAATTAGTTTGTTGGCTTCCAGACATATATATAGTTGCTCATTCACAGTAGTAGGCTTGCAGAAGGCGGTGATCAATGATTCTCTCTCATCATTGATGTTTCTCATCCTCTCCCTTCTTCTTTGAAATCAATTAAAAAATTATATATATATATATATATATATATATATATATATATATATATATATAATTTTTAATGCAATACCTGACTATCTAGTCAAGGGCACTGACCTCTTTTTACTCAGACTGTCAAATAAAAAAATGACAACAACCAACACAATAGCCATCTGATGTGAATGAATCAAACATACACTTTTTTTTTTGTCAGAACAAGCAAAAGGGTATTTTTTTGTTGTGTCACAGAATTTTAGCAATTAATTTATGTGTGCCATGACATGAACAAGTCGAAAATCACTGGTCTAGATCATTGTGTATATATCCTGATATACATCAGCAGGGCACTCCATACAACTGAAATGGTTTTGTATTTTTAGTATTTAAATACTGGTACAGAATTGTGTTAGGAAAAGTAGAAGACCAGTTCAAATGCAAGCAAACATACTTTAAAGGATACATAACTAAAGAATGGATTATGAAGAACCTGAATATTTGGCACTATTTATTATATATTTCTATACTTAAAATGTAAACTTATTTTCATTTAATTGTTTTCAAGCTTCCATAACCATTTAATTGCCTAACCCAGAGAAATCCTTTGTAACAGTTTTTTTCTTCTTTTTTTTTTATAAATATATTTTATGATTTTTCACAGAGAGGAAGGGAGAGGGATAGATAGCTAGAAACATTGATGAGAGAGAAACATCGATCAGCTGCCTCCTGCACACCCCCTACCGGGCATGTGCCCGCAACCAATGTACATGCCCTTGACCAGAATCGAACCTGGGACCTTTCAGTCCACAGGCCAACGCTCTATCCACTGATCCAAACCGGATTTAGCTGTAACAGCTTTTGACTATTCATTTATAGATCCTGAGATTTGCTAAAATAACTTCCTAAATCAAAAGCAATTAAAAAATATATATAACCACCCTTCTCATGGTACAGTGAAAAGTTTATTTCACCTACTGGTGACTTAAAAACTCAAATAAGAATGTGCAAACTACTTGGTAACACCCCAATTATTTGGCCTCTGCAAAGCTAAGGGTGACTCACGCTTGCATGCGTAAGCACTGACACCTAGAGACACAGTTCCAAGGCTCAGAGGTAGACTTACCTCTAAATCTGCTAACTATGTCAATGTCTTTCTTGCGGTGTTTACTCAGGTGATGCTCACAAAACAGAAGAGCTCAAGTATACTTAGTTGTTTTAACCTGACTTTTATTACACTCTGAAAGAGGTGATGTTCATCAGTATTTTAAAATGTGGAAACCATGCATTTTTCTAAAATCTTATGGTAATCGATATTTTTACATAACAAGAGTTCTAATTCCTCTGGACAAATGTAGCCAAGGACATTGAAAATACTTCTCTATTCCAAATATGGACCGCTGATAATGTCTAAATTGTCCTGCTCCTCTCTTAAAAGATAAAAAGAAGAAAAGATATGGGCATTGCATTAAAGGACCTCTTCATCCTTAATACTGTGTTCTAAGACAAGAAGCATAGATATAAAAAGGCAGAAAGAGTAAACTGTCTAGGTAAAAGCATAAAATAAAGTATTACCTTTAGCTGGGTTTACTTTTATCCCTGACCTATACAGCATTTCCTCATTCTGCCAGTCTCCATTCCTGATTGCAGTCTTGAGTCCATAGAAAACAATTAATGTAGCTGTAGCATAAAAAATCAAGCTCTTGAGAAACCGCTTTTGGACTTTGACATAAAGGGCTCTGGCACCCACTGTAACGAGGAGGCAGAAGCCCATACTAGGAATATACAATACTCGCTCTGCAATTACAAAGCCGACATAGAAAAACAGGTTCGTGGCAGGAACGAAAGGTATTATTAACAAAGATAAAGACAGAATAACAATGTTCTCTGTAGAAGGAAGCTGTGTTGTCTGTGGTACATTATTTTTAATGCCATTTTCTACTTTGGATGCAAAGCTGGGCTTGATCTCTGAGTTCCGGTACTCCACATCTGAATGGCAGCTATGTCCATTTGCATTCTGCTTGCCATTTGTTACAAATTTCCCATAGCATTCTCTTTCCACGCTTGGGCTCTTTAAACCACAGTAGGCAAGGAGGAGGAGTCCAATATAGAAGGCCACAGTGTGTAGGTTTCTCCAATCACAAATTGTTTTGAGCAGAGGCACGGCATCCATTGACCAATCAAAACTGAGGGTATCAGGGCAGAGTAACAGCCAGAGGTTCTTGGTTGGCAAGTAGAAGAAGGTGAGTGTGCGAGCCAGGAGACTGTCAGAATCTGCAGCTGGGTTGTCAGAGTTGGAAAAGCTCGGTGGTTTGTTTCCCATCCAGTATAAACGGGCACCCAACAGGGAAGTCCCCCAGAGAGTTAACAAACTAATACTGAGGAAAAGTGGCAAATTCTTCCCCTGAAACCAAAAGAGAGGGAGGGAAAAATTAAGATGATCATCAATACAGCATGGTGACACTTCACTTAACAGTTAGAGATGAAATACATTTTTAAGTGGACAGTTAACACAGCATTATGTCTTAAATATCTGACTTCATCCACCTCCTTTTTAAACATGTTTAGGAAAATTTCAACCTAAAAAAAAGTGACCGTGGAATCCAACTTCGTATATAACTTTTGATGAGTAGTTTTTCTTCTCATTCCTTTTCTAAAGTACCAATAAGCAAAGATTCAATTTCTTGACCTCTACGAAGTGAGTTGCATATATTTCCTTCTTGGAATTAGCATCAGGTCAAAATAAGACAACAATGTGAAAGTATTTAGCATTCTTAGTAGGCATCTAATAACTGAGTTCTTTCATTTTATAATTTAAATACAGGGAAAAACAAAGAACAGTCATGACAAAAAACAAAAATATGAGGAGAACAGGATTACGCTCGGCTCGAAAGTTGGAATAGCATTTAGCCATGTCTATGTCAGTCCTGATTTCATTGTCTTGAATATCCTTGCAGAATTTATACCAGGCTTTCTTTCACCTGTGGCCACTGGCATCAGTGACATCCACCATTTAATAACACACCTCACAAATGTGAAGTTTTTCATGTTAATGACAACTTTTAAGAATACAATGACTTTACAACAAACTTATTTTATGAGGAAGAAAATTGTGAGATGAAGTCAAAAGGACATCCTTGTTACTGAGAATATTGTGGCAAACTCTTTCGATCCCAATAGGAATTTAGTGACCTCAAACAATCTAAATCCTGAGAATGAAGAAAATATTTGCAAATAATACATTGATATCTAAAATATATCCATAATTCATACAACTCAATTGAAAAAAAAATACAATTCCAAAATGGTCAGAGGATCTGAATAGACTTTTTTTCCCAAAAAAAAGATATAACAAATAGTTAATAGGTACATGCAAAGATGCTCAACATCACTAATCATCAGAGAAATGTAAATCAAAACCACAACCAGATATTACCCCACACATTTCACAATGGCTATTATAAAAAAGATAGATAACAAGTGTGGATGAGGATGTGGATAAAAGGGAAACCTTGTATACAGTTGGTGGGAATGTAAATTGGTACACCCGCTATGGAAAATAAGCATGGAAATGCCTCATTAAAATAGAATTACCATCTGATCCAGCAATCCCATTTCTGGTTCTTTATCTGAAGAAACTGAAATTACTATCTCATAAAGATACCTGCATCCCCATGTTTACTGCAGCATTATTTATAGCAGCCAAAACATGAAAGGAACCCACGTGTATATTGATAGATGAATGAATAAAGAAAATGTGATATGGATATCTATATATACCTCAAATGGAATATTACCCAGCTATAAAAAGAAGGAAACACTGCCATTTGCCACAATATGAATATACTTTAATGGCATCATGCTAAGAGAAATCAGTCAGACAGAGAAAGAAAAATAATGTATTACCCCAAAGGCAGAATCTTAAAAAAAACCTCACAAACTCACATATTCAGAGAACAAGTTGATGGATGGCAGAGATGGGGGGATGTACAGGGGTAAATGGCAAAAGTGGTCAAAAGATATAAGTTCCAGTTCATATATATATATATATATATATATATATATATATATATATATATAGCTAAGTGACCATGGCATCTGAAACAACTGGACAACAGAACAGGCGGGGGGGGGGGGGGGGGGGGCAACTAGGCTGGCGGGGGGGGGGGGGGGGGGGGTTACAAAATGACCACAAAATGACCGACCAAGCAATAGGCTGCATGGGGCTACCAGACCTGTGTGTGTGTGCTGGGGGGAAGTTGGAGGCGACCAGGCTGGTGGAGGGGTGGCAGTGAGGGGCCACTAGGACACCAGAGGGGGGCAGTGAGGGGCGACCAGGTTGGCAGGGGGGGGCAAACAGTTGGAGGCAACCAGGCCAGCAGGGGAGCACTAAGGGGCAACCAGGCCGGTGGGGTGGGGGCAGTTGGGGGTGACCAGACCAGCAGAGGGGGAAGTTAGGTGCAATCAGGCATGCAAGCAGGCTAGCAGTTAGGAGCCAGTGGTCCCAGATTGTGAGAGAGATGTCCGGCTGCTAGTTTTGGCCCAATATCTGGGATCGGATATCCCCTGAGGGGTCCCAGATTGGAGTAGGTACAGGCTGGGCTGAGGGGACGCTGCTGTGCACAAATTCCATGCACTGGGCCTCTAGTAAGATAAGTAAGTCTGAGGATGTAATGTGGTGATTACAGTTAACACTGTATTAGTGTATATTTGACAGTTGGTAATAGAGCAGGACCTTAAAAATTCACATCACAATAAAAAATATAATTTTTATAACTATGTGTTACAAAACTTAACTGTGGTAATCATTTCACTATATATATATATATATATATATATATATATATATATATATATATATATAATATCTCCTTCCCTCCACATTCTATGCATTACACCAAGTCCTCTCACTTTCACTTCAAAATGTATTCTGATGTGTTCACTTCCCTCCTTTCCTTCCGTCATCACTCTAGTTTAAAATGCCAAGACTTGGATTGTCAGAATAGACTCCTCCTAACTGGTAATCTAACCGTTTCCAACACAGATAATAGTGATCCCAAATTTTAAAATCATTAATGGGAGCTTATTCTAAGATCTTAGAAGTTTTTACCTCTAGAAAACAAAAAGTTTATAGTTCATTGAGCAGTTTTCTTGATGGTATATCCACTTTTACATTTCAAAATTATTTTAAACAGTATTTTAGATATTTTAAAAAGGGTAATTTTGGGTATAAAAGACAAGAAGGAAGAGGAGGTTAGAAGTTAAAAATTCAGAATAAGACAAATTATAAACAACAAATAAATGAAAATCTTAAGAGGTGGGACTGTTGGTTAATATCAAATCACAATAATGCTAAATTCATAAAATTAACTGTCTCAGTGTTTTAAAAACTTATTTGGTGGCCCTGGCTGGTTTGGCTCAGTGGATAGAGTGTCACCCTGCAGACTGAAGGGTCCTGGGGTCTATTCTAGCTGGAGGCACATGTCTGGGTTGCAGTCTTGATCCCCAGTAGGGGACATGCAGGAGGCAGCCAATCAATGATTCTCATCATTGATGTTTCTCCCTCTCTCCCTCTCCCATCCTTTCTGAAATCAATAAACATATTTAATAAAAATAAAAACTTCTGTGGCAGACCTCCGCTCAAAATTAACTTTTGTAATGTTATTTGGAATTTTTAATGGCAGGGGAATAATATGTTCAGTCATCACCAATCTTTAAATTTCAGATCTCTGCTAGAAAAATGAAATTATTCAAAGCCTCTTTATCATCTAAAAGTAAGTTTGCAACCCATTATCTGGCTTTTCTGAAGTTCTGCCCAGCAAAAAGCTTAAAATTTCTGGATTATAGGAGAAAAATTAAACTACACAAAACCAAATGTTATAAGTTGTAAATAACTTGATGGATCAAGGACATAATTGAGTAGTCTTAGATTATAAAAAAGAGAAACATATCATTTGGCAAAAGTAAATGGGGAAAGATATCATGAATAAAGAAGACTGAACTTGAAAATAATTCAATTTTGAATTTGCACCAAAAATCTATTTTCAAAGTGTAACTGAAGGCCATGTCTTCTGGTGAGACTGCGTGGAGAGGGGGAAAGGAAGAACAGCTGCAAACAAGCAAGAAGTAAAGCAAAGCAGCAAGAGAACCACAGACATAGGGAGGGAAGAACAGTCAGTTTCTTTGCTAGTCATGAGACTCCAGGATAACGTGGCTGTAAGAATTACATAATTCTATTTTGTTCCTAAAGTTAGAAATGGCATAATAAGGCAAAACTATTAATAACTTATTTATTAATTTGTAATGAAAGCATCTTTAATAATTTATGAAATTGTAATAAACTATAATCAAAATGAGACATTGAGATTTAAGATGTGATAAAAATTGACTCCAGTATTTGTGATGATGGAAGAATTTTTAAATACAATAAACTACAATATAAATATGAGTAATGAAAACTATTCCATGGTAAATTTTATATGACTCTAAATGCTGGAAAAATAGTAATCTGTAATAATAGAAGTGTAATATGCAAATCGACCGAATGGCTGAACAGTGGAATGACTGTCCGGATGAATTTCCGGACAAAGCAGGGGCTGCTGGGGCTGAGGCAGCGGGGGCTGTGAGGGTCTGCTGAGGCTTGGGGGCTATGAGGGCCTGCTCTTGCACAAATTTCGTGCATCTGTTCTCTAGTATAAACATAAAACCATAAGTAAAAATAAAACTATAGCATTACTTTATGTAGAATTTTTATACCTAAACAGTTCATTCTAACTTAATGGTGAAGTCAGTAAGGGCCAAATAAATGAAAAATTAAAGAAAAATTGAATTAACTAAGAGGTAAAAGAAAATAGATATGAAAATGTTTAGTGAGTTTCTCAGACTTTGTGATTGGCTACTACATTTTAAATATTAGACTAAACTTGAAATCACAGCTTTCAAATCTCTTTAATGTTTTCTAATAGAATTCTGGTGAAATCTATCAGTTATAAAAATGGGATTCTGATGAAACCAATTTCTCTTGTAAACTTATGGCTTTAAAAATAAGATAAAAGAAAAAAAGCATGGAAAAGGGTTTTTTTTTAATTCATTTTAGATTCTGTGCTCTGATTTATTAATTAAGTCAAATTAACCAATTGTTATTGAGCTATGGCTAGGAGCCAAGTAATCATACATTTAGCTTTAGCATCTCTTTGCTCTTGGCTGGTGTATGACATTGATTCAGCACAGGTATTTCTCAGATAAGGCACTTGAGTTCTGAGTTGCCACCCCAGACTTGAAAGAGAAAACGGGTGAAAATTCACACAAAGAAGATGCAACTTCAAAGACAGGGAAATTTAAACAATCTGACTTTAACCTTTGGTTGGGAGTATTAAAAAATGATTGCAGCCGAAACCAGTTTGG